ATTGGAGACTACCTGAATGGACTATCACCTCATAGAACTGTTTTGAGCCTGGTCTGAAGTTATTCAAAAGGGTGCATGGTGGTTCCGGCATATCTAAAGAACCAGGGTCTGTAAAGCACATACAGGGTATGAAATCACACTGCATTAAGAAGGGGTTTACTTAACAAGTCAAGAAAGAGTATGGCCGTTGCTACGAGTAATTAAGCACAAGTACAACACACAAATCAATGAGGCGTGATACCTGGTAAGGTTGCAGGTCCTCCAGTAGAGAGGGGTTCACTATTTGGCTCCCTCCGAAGCAGTCCATTTCCCATAATAACTGGGAGTAGACCAGCATATTCATTACCTTTAGTTTACAGTGAGCACTCATGAGGTCCACGCTATGTGCTCGGCGTGACCTCATTCTGTTACTCGGAGTGAGGTAACAGAGGTTCGCTAGACTGGTGGAGTGGGCACAGGATCAGCATATCCCTCCTAATACAACAACTTCTGAAGGCTCCATGTATATGACATAGGACACCACATTTCAGAAGAAGTCTGTATTTTACTGCATACAGTGTAATCTCATCTCTAAGCTGGGAAACTTCCTTAATATAATGCCGGCCATAGACGGGTCGAAAATCAGCTGATCTTTTTACTGTCGGTGGTAACGTCGGCCGATCAAACGACCAATTTTTTTTTTTTTTAAACGGACGATTTTCGCCCCGTCTATGCCCTACATTAGACTTTTCACATGACCGCAGTTGATGAGAGCGCTCCACACGAAAAGATACCCCTGTGTGCAGTCAGTAAGCCCCGCCCACAGACGGGCCAGTGAAAGATCTAGTTACAACAATCACTCTTTAATTTACTATATTCAAATTAGTACAGAAATGACATCTAATGATGTGTGATGGCTTACTACATTTTTCACATTTTTCATTTCTGTTGGTCCTGCTTTATTGTATATACCCATTGGAAAATTCCTGTGTCATCACATAGAAGTTAATATATTTCTTTACGGAGACAGTAATATGCTGTAGCAGTGCTCTGATTTGTAACAATGAATCCTTAGCACACTAATTAAACCTTTAAATGTTAGGCTATATGCAGAATGGAAATGCTTTCAGGTGTTGGAGAGCAATTACTGAGCCTTTCTTGTGCTTGGCTGGCCTTCCGCATATGTTCCTTTTGGCTGACAAAAAAGGGAAGCTGCAGTAAATCGTGCACATTGGGATTCAGGCAGTGGCTTCTTGTATGCATATATTTATATTAGGAGTAAGCATACTGTTCTCCAGGAAATTGGCTTCTCTTTATAATTAAACAGAGAGAAAAAAGGTTGAGGGAGGATTGCTAATACTGCAGATTAGAATATGTTAAATTTCATAAAACCATAACTAGGTCATCACCCAGACACCCTGATCTATGGCTCGTTTAAGAAACAGCATCCTAAACACATATAAAGTATGAGTTCATTTATTAAAGAGGTGGTGTGGTATACTACAGAACACAGCAACCAGGTAATATTTTGCCAGATAGATATGCAGAATTCTGATCACGGTTCATGTACCTTAATATATCATAAATGAGTAGATATGAAACTATAATGCAGCAAGAGTTTTCCCTGCTTTTGTCCTAAAAGCACTGTACTGTGATAGTTAGCTTGGCATATTAAAAGTGAAGGTACAGGCCAGGGGCAGACTGACAACTCATGGGGCCCCCGGGCAATAGGGGATCATGGGGCCCCTGTGTCCTTGCCCAAACTCAAAAAAGCCTATGAAAAAGGTACCAGGGGCATCTCATGGGGTCCCCTACTGACCCCGGGCCCTCGGGCTGTGCCCAAGTTTCCAAATAGTCAGTCCGCCCCTGGTACAGGCACATAATGTAAGAATTACATGGAACCTGTGGTGTGCTCATGCAGGACAAAGCAAGAAGTTCACCTAATCTACTCCCCCCCCTCCAGCATATATGTTACTTTCCTTCTTCTCATCTGCCATTCCATTTAGCCATTGAGAGTGTAGGAATAAACCCTTATGTAAGGTCAACAAAAGGTAGGTGGATGGTGCTGGTTCTTTGAAAAGTACTGTGTGGTAGATCAGTCTAGGTGTCCACAGACTTCAAAACACAAGAATAGAACTAAAATCAAAAATGACTATGCTCAAAGATACATGTCCAGAACTGTTTTTTTATTTCGTAACAAATGTCCACTAAAAGTCAGCAAAGGTGGCCAAGGAATTTCGGAGATCTGAATGTGTTTTCTACATCAGAGTTAAAATTGTTATAAACAAACAAACAAATACCTTTATATGTACAGTATATATTAATAAAATATGGGAAAGATCTGTAAATTAGTTTGTGATAAAATTGGACAATTTTATTTATTATTAGTCTTACAAAGAAAAATACACATATATTGAATTGATTGCATAAAATTACATACATTTTTCAAAGTAAAAAAAAAAAGATATTTGGTACATTATTTTGGAGTTTTATAAGAACAAATAAATTCTTAATCTATGTACCCATATACAGATTATTAGCATATTTTGTATATGATTTTTTTAAAACTTCAATTTTAATTTGAATTTATATTTCATTATGTAGTTTGATGTTACCCATTTGATATACATGTATTCTAGAAGACTAATAAACCAAATTGTACAATTTTATTGCATATTTATGCAATTGTTACCCAAATTTATATATATATATATATATATTATATATATATATATATATATAATATATACCTGTATACAGTGGGGCAAAAAAGTATTTAGTCAGCCACCAATTGTGCAAGTTCTCCCACTTAAAAAGATGAGAGAGGCCTGTAATTGGCATCATAGGTAGACCTCAACTATGAGAGACAAAATGAGAAAAAAATCCAGACAATCACATTGGCTGATTTGGAAAGAATTTATTTGCAAATTATGGTGGAAAATAAGTATTTGGTCAATATCAAAAGTTCATCTCAATACTTTGTTATATATCCTTTGTTGGCAATGACAGAGGTCAAACGTTTCCTGTAAGTCTTCACAAGGTTGGCACACACTGTTGCTGGTATGTTGGCCCATTCCTCCATGCAGATCTCCTCTAGAGCAGTGATGTTTTGGGGCTGTCGCTGGGCAACACGGACTTTCAACTCCCTCCAAAGGTTTTCTATGGGGTTGAGATCTGGAGACTGGCTAGGCCACTCCAGGACCTTGAAATGCTTCTTACGAAGCCACTCCTTTGTTGCCCGGGCAGTATGTTTGGGATCATTGTCATGTTGGAAGACCCAGCCACGTTTCATCTTCAATGCCCTTGCTGATGGAAGGAGGTTTGCACTCAAAATCTCATGATACATGGCCCCATTCATTCTGTCCTGTACATGGATCAGCCGTCCTGGTCCCTTTGCAGAGAAACAGCCACAAAACATGATGTTGCCACCCCCATGCTTCACAGTAGGTATGGTGTTCTTTGGATGCAACTCAGCATTCTCTCTCCTCCAAACACGATGAGTTGTGTTTTCTACCAAACAGTTCTATTTTGGTTTCATCTGTCCATATGACATTCTCCCAATCCTCTTCTGGATCATCCAAATGCTCTCTATAGCAAACTTGAGACGGGCCGGACATGTACTGGCTTAAGCAGGGGGACACGTCTGGTACTGCAGGATCTGAGTCCCTGGCGGCGTAGTGTGTTACTGATGGTAGCCTTTGTTATGTTGGTCCCAGCTCTCTGCAGGTCATTCACTAGGTCTCCCCGTGTGGTCCTGGGATTTTTGCTCACCGTTCTTGTGATCATTTTGACCCCACAGGGTGAGATCTTGCATGGAGCCCCAGATCGAGGGAGATTATCAGTGGTCTTATATGTCTTCCATTTTCTAATTATTGCTCCCACAGTTGATTTGTTCACACCAAGCTGCTTGCCTATTGCAGATTCAGTCTTCCCAGCCTAGTGCAGGTCTACAATTTTGTTTCTTGTGTCCTTTGACAGCTCTTTGGTCTTCACCATAGTGGTAGTTGAGGGAGTGTGGTGACTGTTTGAGGATGTTATGACAGGTGTTCTTTTATACTGATAAACAAGTTCAAACAGGTGCCATTAGATACAGTAGGTAATGAGTGGTGCAGGGTGACAGAGGAGCCTCTTAAAGTGAAGTGGGGGTTTTGAGGGAGGATACAGGTCTGTGAGAGCCAGAAATCTTGCTTGTTTGTAGGTGACCAAATACTTAATTTCCCTGTACCAATTTTGGAAATAAAATTCTTTCCAATCAGCCATTGTGTGATTGTCTGGATTTTTTTCTCATTTTGTCTCTCATAGTTGAGGTCTACCTATGATGCCAAACAATTACAGGCCTCTGCTCATCTTTTTAAGTTGGGAGAACTTGCACAATTGGTGGCTGATCTAAATACTTTTTTGCCCCAACTGTTTTTTTATATATATATATTATATTATATTCGATATATACTATATATGAGATATATATATACATATTGTGTTGTAATTATTATTTCAAGGCTGTGGATGCCTTTATTAGTGTGGTATACAATTTAAGATATCATGGGGGACTGGAAATAATATTTTTGTTGATCTACTATAGGCTTTACTAACCCCGATGAAGGGAAAACTTCTTATGGGCAGACCCCCAAAAAGCATTACTTTCATTTGTTGGGGATCTTTTACTGAACTGTTTTTACTCTAAAAAAAAAACCTTTTGGACTCTTGTCTTGGTGTGGTGCTTTGCATTAGAACTTCTGTTTTATGTAAGGTCCAAGTGAGATTTTCATTGGTAGAGCACTATGTCTCCTCATACACTTATGTCAGCGTAACACTGGCCAATGTGAAACTAAGATCACATGCTGTCACTTGTAAGAGATGAGCGAATTATTCAAAACAGATTCGATGATGGGGCGGCTAACTCGTGTCTAATTTCGATAATAAGTTCGATGAAATGTTTAAATGCCCTGGAGTGGCTGGGGGAAGAGAAATTGGGGGGTTTGGAAAGGGTGGGAGGAGGGGGTTGTGTTTGTTGTAGGGGGGATGATGGTGGTATGATCTTAAGAATCACCGCAAGACTTCACTCATTTGGGCAGTCACGGGGCCAAAACCAGAGTGTGGAGCCACAGTGTGGCGGTGGAGGCAGGCAGCAATGGGAGGCCATAAAGCACCCTATGAAAAAATGGAACCCACCAGCAGTGTGAGGAGACCTGAAAGTGGCACATGGCAGAGTGTGGCGATGGAGACAGCAGCAATGGGAGGCTGTACAGGGACCCATGAGAGACTCTGTGAGGAGGCGGTATAGGGGGCCCATGGCAGATTAGGGGCCTGGCAGCAGCTATGGGAGGCCCGTAATCTGCCAGCACCCTATGACAAAAAATGGAACACACCAGCAGTGTGAGGAGACCTGAAAGTGGCACATGGCAGAGTGTGGCGATGGAGACAGCAGCAATGGGAGGCCGTACAGGGACCCATGAGAGACTCTGGACCTGGCAGCAGCATGAGGAGGGCGGTATAGGGGCCCATGGCAGATTAGGGGCCTGGCAGCAGCTATGGGAGGCCCGTAATCTGCCAGCACCCTATGACAAAAAATGGAACACACCAGCAGTGTGAGGAGACCTGAAAGTGGCACATGGCAGAGCGTGGCGATGGAGACAGCAGCAATGGGAGGCCGTACAGGGACCCATGAGAGACTCTGGACCTGGCAGCAGCATGAGGAGGCGGTATAGGGGCCCATGGCAAGGGGCCTGGCAGCAGCTATGGGAGGCCCGTAATCTGCCAGCACCCTATGACAAAAAAATGGAACACACCAGCAGTGTGAGGAGACCTGAAAGTGGCACATGGCAGAGTGTGGCGATGGAGACAGCAGCAATGGGAGGCCGTACAGGGACCCATGAGAGACTCTGGACCTGGCAGCAGCATGAGGAGGCGGTATAGGGGCCCATGGCAGATTAGGGGCCTGGCAGCAGCTATGGGAGGCCCGTAATCTGCCAGCACCCATGACAAAAAATGGAACCACCAGCAGTGTGAGGAGACCTGAAAGTGGCACATGGAGGAGAGTGTGGCGATGGAGACAGCAGCAATGGGACAGGGAGAGACACATGGACCTGGCAGCAGCATGAGGAGGCGGTACAGGGGCCCATGGCAGATTAGGGGCCTGGCAGCAGCTATTGGAGGCCCGTAATCTGCCAGCACCCTATGACAAAAAATGGAACACACCAGCAGTGTGAGGAGACCTGAAAGTGGCACATGGCAGAGTGTGGCGATGGAGACAGCAGCAATGGGAGGCCGTACAGGGACCCATGAGAGACTCTGGACCTGGCAGCAGCATGAGGAGGCGGTATAGGGGGCCCATGGCAGATTAGGGGCCTGGCAGCAGCTATGGGAGGCCCGTAATCTGCCAGCACCCTATGACAAAAAATGGAACACACCAGCAGTGTGAGGAGACCTGAAAGTGGCACATGTTTTGGGGCATGATTCATGGCGGATTTAGTCAGTTGTGTCAGGAACTGGTGGTTTGAAATCCAGACTAATCCACGCCTGATTCATTTTCACAAACGTGAGTCTCTCCACACTTTGGGTGGACAGTCGTGTCCTCCGCGGAGTTACAATACCTCCTGCCGCACTAAACACGCGCTCCGATGCCACGCTACTGGCCGGGCATGACAGCCTTTCAAGGGCAAATTCAGCTAGTTGGGGCCAAAGGTCAAGTTTCGTTGCCCAGTAGTCAAGGGGATTGTCTACCTCGGTTGGCAGGGTGCTGTCCAAGTAGGCCCAAGCCTGTTGTTTGAGGTCCTGCTCCAGGTCCACCTGATGCTGCTGCTGCTGCTGCGGCTGGTTAGTAGTTTCCTCACTGCGCTGGTGAAGAAAGCTACTCATCATCGACTGCAGACTGAGGCAGCCGCTGCTGGTGGAGCTGCCACTGCTCCTACCACCCCACCCCCCTCCCCTGCTGCCATGGCAGCAGCGGAACGCGAGCGCACAGGGCCCACAGTGTCTGAGGATGGACGTTGGCGCAGAAAGGCAGAGACCAACTGACTACATAGGTGGTTTTTATAGTACGTTATTTTGGCCTCCCTCTCAGCAGGTGTGAAAAAGGCCACCATTTTTGAACGGTAGCGAGGGTCCAACAAGGTGGACACAGCCAAAAGTCATCCCTCTGTCTGATGGTTATTATTCGGCTGTCGCTACGCAAGCAACCGAGCATGCTATGGGCCATTTGTGCCAAGGAATGCGAGGGACTCCCTGCCTCCATCTCCACAGCATACTGCCACGGTGCGTCTGGGTCCTCTGTCTCCTCCTCCTCCTCCTCTCTAACCAGATGCTCCTGCTCCTCCACTCCTGTCCGCTGAGTGGAAAAACCACCCATTTCACTCAATAATTCCTGAGCACAAATGTCCTCCTCTACCTCCTCCTCTTCTTCTTCTTCCTGTCCTGCCCCCACAGGGGTCATGTGGCGTTGAGATCTGTGCGCCACGTCTACCGCACCCCTGACCAGCCATTGTTAACAGCATTTGTTCCAGGACGTGCAACAGAGGAATGACGTCGTTCATCCCATAGTCCTGCCGACTCACGAATAGCGTGGCCTCCTCAAAGGGCCTGAGCAAGCGGCAGGTGTCACGCATGAGCTGCCAATGGCTGACATCGAAGTTACACAGGGGAGTACCTTTATCCGCTTGTAACATCAGGAAATCGGTGATGGCCTTTCGCTGTTCGTAAAGGCGGTCTAACATGTGTAGGGTTGAATTCCACCTTGTTGCAACGTCGCAGATCAGGCGATGCTGTGGAATTCCGTTCTGTGCCGCTGCAGCTCAAGGAGGGTGTGCTTTGCGGTGTAGGAATGGCTGAAATGCATGCAAATGTTTACGTGACATTTTAAGGATGTCTTGCAGTGGGATGGTGGATTTTAGGAACCGCTTGACAACCAGATTGAACACGTGAGCCATGCATGGCGCATGGCACAACCTTCCTTGACGCAGAGCAGACACCATGTTCTTTCCGTTGTCGGTCAACATGGTTCCGATTTTCAGTTTGCGCGGAGACAGCCATCTGTCGATTTCTCTGTTCATTACACTGAGAAGTTCCTCCCCTGTGTGACTACGTTCGCCAAGGCATACCAGGTGCAGCACAGCGTGACACCGTTGCGCCCTGCACATGTGATATGCCGGTCGGGTAATGGGACTTGGCACGGGGGTGGCGGCTGAGGACACGGCGGAAGAAGAGGTGGTAGAGGCGGACATCTTTGCCGGACCAAGGACGTGCAAAACGTGTGGAGGCAAAAGCGCGCGTGACCTGTCCAAGTTGCTGGTGCGGCTGTGCCGGCACCACGTTCACCCAGTGGGCCGTAAATGACATGTACTGTCCCTGACCGTAGTTACAGCTCCACACGTCGGCGCTGCCGTGCACTTTGGCAGAGACCGACATGCTCAAAGACTGGCCCACCATCTCTTCTACATGTGAATGCAGGGCTGGCACTGCCTTTTTGGCGAAGAAATGACGGCTTGGCACTCTCCACCGCGCGGCGCGGCACAAGCCATCATTTCTCGGAAAGGTGCTGAGTCCACCACTTGGAAAGGGGAGGGACTGCAGCACCAGCAACTTGGACAGGAGGACGTTCAGCTTTTGCACCGTCGGGTGCGTGCTCGCAAACTGTTGTCTCTTGGAAACGGATTCCAAGAAAGACTGCTGACGGAATCCGTGAAGAGGAGTAGCAGGAGAAGGAGCATCAGAACGAGCGGAAGATGCCAACGAGCGACAACTCCCCTCAGCAGAGGTGTTGGAGCCTTGACTGGCTGATAGAGGGCGATTGACGTCGGGTGACGGAGCAAGTAACGGAGCGGGTGATGGAGCGGGGGCTGGGGCAGGCAGAACCGCCGTATCTTTATCACGGTTTTCCCCAGGCCACCAAATGGCGACGCTGCATATGCTGACGCAACGCTGTAGTCCCAACATGGGCCCCCTGGCCACGCTTGACTTTCTGGCCACATAGTCGACATACGGCTACGTTTACTTCCTCGGGCGGCTTGACAAAAAATTGCCACACCGCCGAGTAGGAAACTTTGCCCCCGATACTCCTCACTGGCTGACTGCTGCTTCCTCCGTGCACACCGGCACCACTACTGGCCGTGGTGGTAGGCTGCAGTGGAGCTGGTGCTGTACTCTCCGTGGCCGTTTGCCTCCACTGACACTGCTGCGACCCTGCTGCCTCCTGGGCAACCCACCGACTGTTTTGCTCGCTGCCAAGCTGCCACCCTCTTCTCCTGATGATGCGGAAGCAATAGCCTGATGACGACGAGGCTGCCAAGTGCGATCAGCCTCATCATCATCATCAATTAGGGTCTCCGCCTCACTACTAGCCCCCCCCTCGGCTGCGTGTGGGTCAGGAGACAGACCTGTCTCTAGACCGGCTACCGAGCCACTCTCCTCGCCACTACTTCTTCGCCTGGCTGCTGAAGAGGCGGATGTCTCCCCCCGTTCCTGACCGCCCTCTGTTAGCTCTTCCTCACTGTACAGTGGGGCTGAGCCCACAGCATGCGATACTTCGCTTGGTGAGGGAACACCAAAGGACAGGGGCAGGTAGAGGACACGTGATTTCAGTGGGCTTGCTCCCGGGCCATGCCAACTAACGGTTGTGTCTGACGTACCCACCGACCGTTGGCTGTAGGTGTCAGAGGTGACCTGGGAAGAGGAAGACGACCGAGCCAACCAATCGATGACGGCAGGGTTGTCGGTGGAGACACGACCGCTGGATGACACCGGGGAGCACTGGCCTCTGGCTGCGACTAGTGCTGCTGCCTCGACCCCTTCCTCTGCTGCCACGTCTGCTCGCTCCTAAAACATTGCCTCCTCTGCCACTCCTCTGCATGTTGTCTGACATACTCTTTAATTAAACGATTCTGTGTCCCTGAGTAACAATTCTGTGTCTGTCCCTGAGTAACAATTCTGTGTCCCTGAGTAACAATTCTGTGTCCCTCAGTAACAATCCCTCAGTCTGTTCTGTGTCCCTCAGTAACAATTCTGTGTCCCTCAGTAACAATTCTGTGTCCCTCAGTAACAATTTCTGTGTCTGTCCCTGAGTAACAATTCTGTGTCCCTCGCTGAGTAACAATTCTGTGTCCCTCAGTAACAATTCTGTGTCCCTCAGTAACAATTCTGTGTCTGTCCCTGAGTAACAATTCTGTGTCTGTCCCTGAGTAACAATTCTGTGTCCCTCAGTAACAATTCTGTGTCCCTGTGTCCTCAGTAACAATTCTGTGTCCCTCAGTAACAATTCTGTGTCCCTCAGTAACAATTCTGTGTCTGTCCCTCAGTAACAATTCTGTGTGTGTCCCTGAGTAACAATTCTGTGTCCCTGAGTAACAATTCTGTGTCCCTGAGTAACAATTCTGTGTCCCTCAGTAACAATTCTGTGTCCCTCAGTAACAATTCTGTGTCTGTCCCTGAGTAACAATTCTGTGTCTGTCCCTGAGTAACAATTCTGTGTCCCTCAGTAACAATTCTGTGTCCCTCAGTAACAATTCTGTGTCTGTCCCTGAGTAACAATTCTGTGTCCCTGAGTAACAATTCTGTGTCCCTCAGTAACAATTCTGTGTCTGTCCCTCAGTAACAATTCTGTGTCTGTCCCTGTGTCCCTGAGTAACAATTCTGTGTCTGTCCCTCAGTAACAATTCTGTGTCCCTGAGTAACAATTCTGTGTCCCTGAGTAACAATTCTGTGTCCCTCAGTAACAATTCTGTGTCCCTCAGTAACAATTCTGTGTCTGTCCCTGAGTAACAATTCTGTGTCTGTCCCTGAGTAACAATTCTGTGTCCCTAACAACAATTCTGTGTCCCTCAGTAACAATTCTGTGTCCCTCAGTAACAATTCTGTGTCCCTCAGTAACAATTCTGTGTCTGTCCCTCAGTAACAATTCTGTGTCTGTCCCTGAGTAACAATTCTGTGTCCCTGAGTAACAATTCTGTGTCCCTGAGTAAACAATTCTGTGTCCCTCAGTAACAATTCTGTGTCTGTCCCTGAGTAACAATTTCTGTGTCTGTCCCTGAGTAAATTTCTGTGTCCCTAAGTAACAATCTGTGTCCCTAAGTAACAATTCTGTGTCCCTCAGTAACAATTCTGTGTCCCTCAGTAACAATTCTGTGTCTGTCCCTGAGTAACAATTCTGTGTCTGTCCCTGAGTAACAATAACTGTGTCTGTGGCCTCAGTAACAATTCTGTGTCCCTCAGTAACAATTCTGTGTCCCTGAGTAACAAT